TTTTTTTTTTTTTTTGTGATTAGGAATTAGTGAAATTGTCGGGCTGTTAGGGATGTGCTTATTGTTTGATAGTAATTCAAGTATGCGTTTTAGTTTTATTGTATAATTTAAATGGCTAAAGATCTCGATTGATTATTGTTGTTAAAAAACGACGGTTGGAGAAGACAAGTTAGCAATATATCTGTTACTGAATCTTTTTAACTATCTTATGCGAGTAAATTCTGAAACATTCCGCTAATTCTAAAGTAACAGTGCTAAGCTTAATTTTGAAAATGTTTTTAGGCGCTAGCATCAAATGAAGCAGTCGAGCCAGTGTTGCTTTTCCTTGCTTTGCATAACGATTACAATGTCATCACTGAGGTTTGTCCTAAATCGCTCTCCATTTTTGTTTTTCATCGTCTCCTAGTTTGTTGGCTTTTTGTGATTTTTGTGTTCATAAAAAAAGCATGCTTGTAATTTTAGCTTAATGATATGTCGTTGCGCTCAATGGCAACAACGAACTTCCGCAACGTTATTGGCTACTTCGAGAAGTGTAACATGGATGGCTGCGAAAAACAGGATGCGGTCGATTCACATTTGCTGCACCTCGTGTTGAAAGGATTGCACAATGAAAACGAGGTATGCTAAACTTCGCTCTTATGACTACCTCGTTTTTATGACTCTTTCACCTTCACTTCTCTCTTCTACTCGTTTCCAGTTCGTTATTAGCAGTGCTGGCTGCAACTGTTTCTTCTGGGTAGCCTCCCAGACGCTCCAGTGGGAGGTTTATCAGTACAGGCAGGTGCAGTTGTTGGTAGTTTCACTCAGTTGAAATGTTTTTAATTCCGTCTCATATGACTGCGTCCGTTTCAGCAGCAGTTGAAGTGAGAATAATGCCATGGGTTTGAGCCACTCTGTAACTTAAAAGTTACAGAGCCTTGAGATCTAAAATTTTGATGAATTCTCTTCGAACGTTCTTTAACCTTGATTGCATCGCCTTCAAAGTAGTACTTTGCTTTCAAATTAATTATAAGTGAATTTTTTATCATTTAATAACACACCATTGTAAGTTCTGCACTAGGTCTGAGGAGAGCCGCACAGATTGAGAAGGTGGGAGAGCGAGCCGGGGAATCTTTATAATTCATATCAGTTAAATCTATTTTTTTTAGTGCTTCAGTGGCGATAGATGTATTTTAGTGGCGTCTTTTTCACTCCGTTCTTTCGTTTCAGTGGTAAATTGATATAGCATATGCTGGGAAGCCAGTCGTATCGTCCGCTTACTTAGGCAACCCTCGAAGGAGAGAGCCATCGGCAGCTTGGCCAACGATTGCTGCTGTTATTAACAATTACTACCTCTCGGACTACTTCTCGAGTACCCTAGTCTGTCACAGGGAGGAAAAACGAAGGAAGCTTTGATTTTCCGACATTGATAGGAGTGAAATTTTGAGCCATAAATGCGGGAAGGATGGGAGAATGAGCGGGGGAATTTTAATTCTTTTAATTTTTTTTTTATTGCAGCAGTTGCTATAAAGCTATTTTTCGTTCATAAGCAGTTCGCTGTACAGTAATTAGCGAGTTTCAGACAATACGGCATGACTTTGTGAATCTTTTGG